GAAAAGATTATGTTGTGAAAAGGAAATCTTGATAAGATCATTGATGGTTTGTGCATCATGAGTATGTGATGGTTGATTAAAGTTCACTTCTGGTTGTATCTGGTATTGATTCAGAATATTATCTTGGTTGTGTTAGAAAAGGACTCATCATGATGGTTATGTTATGGTCCAATAGGCTTCACTTTAGATTGAGTTCAGGGGTTAGTGTGTGGCTTGATGATCATTCCTGATTTGTAGATATTTCAAAGTTTGACTTGAAAGTTCAGTTCTTAGTAGTTGATCTTGATGGAATGGTCTTTAAGGAGAAGATCACTTAGAGAGATGAACACCGACTGGTAGTTCATAACTTAGACTTTTGGCAACATCAGTTATTCTTCCTTCTTCTTCCTTATGTTCGAGGACAAACATGATTTTTAGTGGTGGATAATGTAATGACCCGTATTTTTTTATTTTGGAAATTTGGATTTATTCGTTTAACCCGAGTTAATTAATCGTTGGGTAATTGTAGATAATTGACAGTTAATGGGTTAAACTGATTATTTATTTAAGACCCTATGCCATTAGGCCCATGTATTAAAAATAAGTTAGTGGATTTTGTCAGTTTTAATAAACCATTAATTTGGAAGAGAAATAGAAAGGGAAAGGAGGAACGGACGGTGGCGGCATCAAATTACGAGCAGCTTCAGGTAATGCATTTGCTATGCATATATATATATATATGTTTTACCAGTAGTATGGTAGGTAGGAAAATAATGGGTTGCCTCTTGAATTTGTAGATTAGATAGGTGCCTTTTATCGGGTTTTTTAACCTTAATTCCTTACCAACAATTGATGGCTATCAATGAGAGAATGATTTGGCAATGAGTGCCTTTTTAGGATTAATCGTTAGCAAATTAGGAATTGGTTCTTATAGGAAATATAGTATTATATTGTGGGTATTTTATTGTGAATTGATAGTTGCTGTATCCGTGGCTTTTACTATTTTTCTTGGTGTCAAATTAAGAATTAACGTGACCATTTAATTTAAGGACAATCATAAAACAATAATTTTATAATAATGAAGGGTTATTGGATAGTGTTTGAAGTATGGATGGATGGTTGTTTTGGGTAGCGAATCTAAGTTACTGGTTTGTCATTTTCTTTAGGGTTCTCCTTTTATTTTATTGTTATAGTTACCTCATAAATCAAGTTTTAATAATATTGAGATATGATGTAAGGTATTATGTGAATACCATTAGATTTAGGATATTAGAAAAATTGGGACTTAACCTTAGACTTGAAACTTGGAAAAATATGATAGTCAAATGTTAATTAGCATCAAGAGTTACGAACTTGATTATTAA